TAAGAGAGAAAGAGATTATGTTTAACATCCACCTGATATAAAGTAGGTCATTTTGGGACTAAAATTGATTCTGTTTTATTTTGATGATTTACTGGCGCGTAAGGGTCTTGAGCAGGAAACCGATGTGGTTGGACAGAAGACCATACACCATGTCACAGTCAAGCAGGCAACTGAAACCAGGCCACTTGACTCAATGCGTTAAATCTTTCAGCCACCCAATAAAAGATAATGAAAAACGAATATATATACAGTATTGAGCTCCGATTTAAGATTTGATAAAGATAGCCTTGATTATCAAGTGCCATTGTTACAATAATTAACTATGTCTTGATTATCCATTTTAATGTTAAATTATTAAATGGCACAGTCGATTTAATCCATTTTTAATCATGGTCATCTGATGTTTGTCATATGAATAACATTTGAATGAAGCCAAAAGAAGAACCGCAATAGGCAGATTTAACCTCTGCATAATGCATTTTTATACGCCCACATTTTCATGTGGATGTATATTTTCATCGTCCGTCCGGACGTCTGTCTACAATTTGTTTGTGGACACTCTACAGGTCACAATTCTTATCCGATTTTGACGAAACTTGAAATATAGGTTTATCTCCGAATGATCTCGGCTGCTTTCGATATTGGTATGTATCGGATCGAAACTTAATGGATTATGGCCCCTGTTTGTACAAAAAATCACATTTTTAGCTTGTGGACCCTATAGCGGTAACAATTTTTATACGATTTTGTTGAAACTTGAAATGTAAGTTTATAACCCAAAGATCTCGGTTCCTTTCGATATTTGCGTATATTGGACTGTAACTTCCTGAATTATGACCCCTGATTGTACCAAAAATCGCGTTTTTAGCTTGTGGACCCTATAGAGGTCTTATTTTCATCTGATTTAAAAAAAACATATCATATCACCGTTACACCCTAATAACGGCTGAGTTTGAATTTCGAGAAAATCGGCCCAAAACTGACAGACAAAATGGCCGCCCTTTGTTCTCAAATAGCATAAAAAATATGGTATATTAAGGTTGTGGACCCTTTAGAGGTCACAATTTTAATCCTATTCTAATGAAACTTGAAATGTAAGTTCATAACCCAAAGATCTCGGTTCCTTTCGATATTCGCGCATATCGGACCGTAACTTCCTGAATTATGGCCCCTGATTGTACGAAAAATCACGTTTTTGGCTTGTGGACCCTATAGAGGTCATAATTTTTATCCGATTTAAAAAAACGTTTCAGTATATCACCGTTACACCCTAAGGACGGCTGAGTTCGAATTTCGTGAAAATTGGCCCAAAACTGACTGAAATAAAGGCTGCCCTTCATTCTCAAATAGCGTAAAAATATGGTATATCGAAGTTGTTGACCCAATAGAGGTCACAATTTTTATCTGATTTTGTTGAAACTTGAAATGTAAGTTTATAACACAAAGATCTTGGTTCCTTTCGATATTTGCGCATATCGAATTGTAATTTCCTGAATTATGGCCCTTGTTTGTAGGAAAAATCACGTTTTTAGCTTGTGGACCCTATAGAATTCATAATTTTTATCCGATTTAAAAAAAAGTTTAAGTGTATCACCGTTACACCCTAAAGAGTTCGAATTTTGCGAAAATCGGCCTAAAACTGACAGGCATAATGGCCACCCCTCATTCTCAAATAGAGAGGTCACCATTTTTATCCGATTTTGTTGAAACTTGAATTGTAAGTTTATAACCCAAAGATCTCGGTTCCTTTCGATATTTGCGCATATCAAATTGTAATTTCCTGAATTATGGCCCTTGATTGTAGGAAAAATCACTTTCTTTTTAGCTTGTTCTCTATCCATCTCTCGAAAATGTGGGCGTATCCTGCCTGGCAGCCGCTGGTTATACACCCACATGGAAATGTGGACGTATGTTTCCGTCGCCCCTCTCCGTCCATCGTCCACAATTTCTTGTGATGGCTCTAACTCCAAAAGTTAATATCCGATTGTTTTAAAATTGATATATGTGGTTTACATTAGTGAGTTGAAGAAGCCTATTTAATTTCAATAATTTCTGTTCATTACATCTACGCCAAAAGTTATCATCCGATCTTTGTTAAATTTATATGCATTATTTAAATAAGTGAAACAAGGAAACCTATTTATTGAATTTCGGCAATTTCCATTTATCTCATCTAGAGTTATGGCCCTTGTTTCACTTTATTGAACCTTGTGAATGCCCTAACAAACAAAAGTTATCACCCGCGCTTTGTGAAATTTATATGCATGATTTAAATTAGTGAAACGAAGACACCTATTGAATTTCAGCAATTTCCGTTAATTACTTCTAGAGTTATGTTCCTTGTTTCACTTTGTTGCACCTTGGGAACGCTGTAACATCAAAAGTTATCTGCCGATCTGTATGAGATTTACATACGTCATTAAAATTAGTAAAGAGTCTGTTTATTACTTCTAGAGTTATGGCCCTTGTTGCACTTTGTGAACTCTCTAACCTCTAAAGTTATCTGCCGATCTGTATGAAGTTTACATGCATCATTTGAATTAGTAAAGAGAATAAATCTATTGAATTTCAGCAATTTCCTTTTATTATACGCCCACATAGAAATGTGGACGTATATTGCTGTCACCCCCGTCCGTCCGTCCATCATCCAGTTGTTTTAAAATTGATATATGTTGTTTTGCTTAGTGAGATGAAAAATCCTATTTAATTTCAATAATTTCCGTTTATTACATCTAGAGTTATGGCCCTTGTTTCACTTTGTTGAACCTTGTGAACGCTCTAATGCCAAAAGTTATCGTCTGATCTTTGTGAAATTTATATGCAATATTTAAATTAGTGAAACGAAGAAGTCTATTTAATTTCAGCAATTTCCGTTTATTACTTCTAGAGTTATGGCACTTGTTTCACTTTGTTTAACCTTGTGAACACTCTAAAATCAAAAGTTATCTGCCGATCTGTATGAAATTTGCATTTCAGCAATTTCCGTTTATTACTTCTAGAGTTATGGCCCTTGTTTCACTTTGTTCAACCATGTCAATACTCGATTGATAAAAGTTATCATCCGATAAGTATGAAATTTATATGCATCATTTAAATTTGTGAAACAGGTCTATTGAATTTCAGCAATTTCTGTCAATAATTTCTAGAGTTATGGCAGTTGTGAACCTTGTGGCGAAAGTGATCATCTAATTTGTATGAAATTTATATGCATTATTTAAATTAGTAAAATGGAAAAACCTGACAAATTTCAACAACTTCCAGAGTTAAGGCCCTTGTTTCAGTTTGTAGAACCTTGTGAACCTTCAAACGACAAAAATTATAATCTGATCTGTATGGAACTGTCTTGTAAAGGCCCCCAATTACCTACAAAGGAATAAATATGCGACAACGTCGACTGCTCGGACAATTTAGTTACTGTCGGCGTATGTTTCGTTGCCTGGCAACCTATCTTAACTTCTAGAGTTATAATCTGATCTGTATGGAACTGTCTTGTAAAGGCCCCCAATTACCTACAAATGAATAAAAATGCGACAACCCTTGGGTGATTTAGCTGCTGTGGACGTATGTTTGGTTGTCTGGCAACCGATCTTTAATTACATTAGCGTTACCAGTACTAAGAACCTTTTCTGCACATAAAAGATCCTTTATCAGTTTAAATTCAATAAAAGAGTAGGCCATAGTGCCGCTGCCCAGACAAAAGTTCCCTCATAGCACACTGTATGGCGTATGCCCATCTTCATGATCACAGTCGGAGCAGAACAGTAGGACATTAAACCACATTTCATTTCATAAAACATTTTCCATTACTCATTATTAAAGATCATTACCTATTACTACAACATTATAACACATTATTACCTCGTCATTACTGCAGGCCTATATTCGGATGACACAGCTGCTGTTGTCGTATGTCTCTGCATTCATGAGCTACTGTTGCTGTATGTCTCGGCAGTCATAGACTAAACACATTAAGTGTTTGTGCATCTAAATAAGTCCTAGTTGGGCAAGGGTTTTATTTTGGTTTAGCCTTGGCCATTTTTATACGCCCACATTGAAATGTCGTTGTATATTATCGTTGGTGCAATTGTGGACGCTCTAGAGGCCAAAGTTAATATCTGATTGACTTTAAATTAATACACAGTGTTTAAGGTCATGAGATGAAGAAGCCTATTGATTTTCAGCGATTTCTGATAATTACTGCCAGAGTTATGGCCCTTGATCACTTTGAAAAATCTTGTGGACGCTCTAGAGGCCAAAGTTAATATCTGATTGACTTTAAATTAATACACAGTGTTTAAGGTCATGAGACGAAGTATCCTATTGATTTTCAAAGATTTCCGATAATTTCTGCCAAAGTTATGGCCCTTGATCACTTTGTGAAGCTCTATAGGCTGAAGTTATCATCCAATTGACTTCAGATTGATACACAGAGTTTAAAGATCTTGAGACGAACAAGTATATTGATTTTCAATGAATTTTTATGTCCTGAACAGCTAAATCCATGATATTAAAAGTTTTGTAGACAAAACGTTAGCATGTGGCAGAACTTTATAAAAACAAACAAATTCTAATGGTTTTCTGATAATTACTTCTTGAGTTGTTGCTCTTAATCAGATTTTAGTGTATTATAAATGTTTCATTACTGAAAAAAGAAAAATATGCGACAACTTTTGTTGACTGCTTGGACGATTTAGCTGTTGTGGGCGTATGTTTTTTTGCCTGGCAACCTATCTTAATTAAATACATATGTATCTACCACACAAGATGAATGCAACTCTCAAAAAACTACATTATGTATACAAAACTGATTAAAACAATTAGACTTTTAGCACCTGTCTAAAACTATTTACGTATGAATCTATGTAGGTTTAAATAGTTTATTGTGTGTAAAGTATGGCCAAAGGGATAGGCGTTGGCAGATGTTCTGTCTGCCAGTGGATTTAAGGGAAAAATCTTGTTTGTCGATGATACCACCCTTATATTTTGTTATCTCTTTTTAGCTAAAATTCCTTTCAAGATGTCCGACATGCAAATGAATGGTTTCCATGGTGAAGAGCTGTTGATAAAGGATGAGAATTTCCCAGTTCATCTTATGAGCCGTTTGAACAAGTTACGAGAAGGAGTCAAGTTTTGTGACGTCACACTGGTCGTGGGGCAACATGATGTCCCTGCACACAAATGTATCTTGGTGTCTTGCAGTCCGTATTTATTTGATTTATTCAGCCAGGAAGAAAAGTCTGGAGTGACCAGGGGAACATGTAAACTCAAGGGTATAGAGTTTACAAGTTTTGAGTATCTCTTGAACTACATGTATACTGGAAAGTAAGTTAGTCTTTTTGATAGCCATTTTACTTCCATAAATAGAAAATATGAGCCTGTTCTTTAATATGTAGCCTATCAGGAAACTATATTTGCATTGACTAGTTACACAATGTCATGTTCCGAGTCTGAACTTGTGCTTTAAACTAGCTTATCTATGCCCATCTATGCCCATCAAACGGATACATGTAGGTAAACTAACTTAAAACACAAGTGAAGCTCATATATTACAAGTAACTCTGGTTATCATTGGGTAAAATGGTGGATTTTAATGTTGTTTATATGTTGATTTGATCTGTGGGATTACTGGGATACTAATAAACCTTCTTTGTTCAAAATGTTAAATCTGTAAACATTGTATCTCTCAAATAACTTTGGATTGGATAATATATGAATATAAAGTATAAGCTACATGTTACAGAGTTATTAAGGTCTAATGTGTGTACTTTAAATCATAAGGTAATTATATATTATAAAGTCTCATCATTGAGTTAAGTGGCGTAGTTTTGATCCCAGCTTGTACAAGGACTGAAGGAGTAGGGGTGCCTGTCCAACTACATGACATTTATCAAGGTTCTCTGGTTTCCTACCACTGATAAAGATCCCTATGTGCAAGCAAATCATTGAAATAAAATTAAACCATATGTTTATTCCGTAATGACCTAGTTTGTGTTGTGTGTATGCTAGATCACATTTCTCTCTACTCCGTCTATGTATATTAAGTAATTGTATTTGTCATGTACTGTGTGAACTGTTATTAGATTCTGATCTTATAATACTTATATCTTCCAGGATGGTCATACCGGCAGAAGAGGTGAAGAGTGTATATGGAACAGCCAGAAAGTTAAAAATGGAAGAAGTTGCTAAGCAGTGTGTGGCTTTCCTAGCTGATAATCTCACCCCTGCCAACTGCTTAGGTATTTGATCGAAAGATTAATCATTCTTTCTTACATATAGTTGTTGTGTAGCCATGTTGAAGAGTAGCTTCTGGTAAAGTATGAACGCAAGTGTGTTTAGTTCTTGACCCTGTAAAGCGACAGGTCACACATGACATAAGATGATGTCATTTAAATGTGTCTGTCACTACCGTCACTCAATTTCATGGTAAGGATCTGTATTTAATTTATTTTCGCTTTACATTTTGGCAATATTGTTTTTTTTTGTTTTTTTTAAAACACACATAAATCTGGTTCTTGTCATAACTTGTTATAAACTAGATGTTTCTTCTACATTAAACATACATTATGCAAGAGCTAAATCTGTCTATTGCGGGTCTTTCTTTAGGCCTGAAATGTTATCTATATTATTAATTAGACATTAACTTATCCAGACCATAATCAACTCTAGATGGCATCGCTAGCCTGCGATCTTAAATGGATTGTGAGCTGATTTACTGCATAACTTTCCTTCTCGATTAAACGATTAAATGGATAATCGAGACTATGCTGTTTATCGTACTGACTTTAGTAATGATGACTGAGGCTAGGCAGAAATTGCATTCGCTTAGTTCTCGGTTCATAGTGGATCAATTTGAATGAAATTTTCAGCAAATTGCCTTTACGTTAAGTAGTTTTTAATTATTATAATGAGAACTGCCAACTCGTTATCGAATCTCCCATAATGTATCTTTAAGTGACATGTTAAAAATGACATATTCTGTCCATTTGGGGAATTAATAGGTGTCCATTTCTAATGTTATTGCCCCAATGGATGATATTAAAAAGCTAGTCTAAGGAGCCTCCAAGAGCCAATTTTTTCACTGGTCTGATTGTTGCCAAGATGTAATTACTTGTGTTGGTTGTGTTATCCAGGACATATTTGACTGGCATTGCTATATGGTTTGGTGTAATTTTGTTAAATTAATATCAGTGATCAAGCTTGGCTTGTAATAACATTCCAACCTGGAAATGGGTGTTTATAGAAATTATATTCAGGACTTGTCATATATAATGTTATTACATTTATTCAGTTTTAGAAACACAGGCAACATCTTGTCATGAATATTTTAAATGAATATTAAAACCATGATTATATAAATTTATTCATGTTATGTGAATTTAATGTTTTTAATTGTCTTATTTTATTATAATTTGTGTATTTTGTATGTTGTTAGTCATCCTATTTATTTCAACAATTTTGGATAATAAGTCTCAAGTATTACCACTTAATAACTTTGTAGACTCATTTGGACATCTTTCTTGGCGCATAGGGTAGAGATTAAGATTTCAGCAGATTTGAAGAATTGATTACCAAGAAGCAATTGCGACATTTGGACAGTATGTGACTACATGGTTATCTATTGTCGTCAACCCATCTCTTTGGAACACTCTATTGACTACATTTATTATCTGATACTTTCATAATTTATGCATGTTTTTGAATTTCAATAATTTCTGTTGCTTGTTTCACTTAGAACTTTGACAAAACTTATCGATCAGTCAGTATTAAATTTATATGCATTATTTAAATTAGTGAAACAAAGAAGCCTTATGAATTTCAACATTGTCCATTAATTACTTCTAAAGTTTTGGGGGTTCTTGGTGGGTAAGGCGCTGGCTCGCTAGCCTTGTGGTCGGGTGTTTGATCCCTGCATTGGCGGAGCAAGTCCATCCAGATTTTCTGGCGTCGTTTCCCCTTGTCAGTAATGCAGGACGGAGGGCCTAACAAGGACAGTTGTCTAGTCATTTGGATTGGTGTGCACATAATAGATCCCTTGACAGTTGGAATTCGATATAAGAGTAGGACGTAGTGCCGCTGTCCGGGCAAAATTTCCCTCATAGTCATAACACACTGTATGGCATATGCCCGTCTTCAGTAGGGTAGGAAGTTAAACCCCATTTCATTTCATGAATTTTATGTGCAGTATGCAAATAAGTGAAGCAAAACAGCCTATTGAATCACAGCAATGCTATTTATACCATCTAAATATTTTGCCTTGTAGCTAGTCTGCTTAGGTGACTTAACTGCAGTGGTTGAATGTTTTTTGTCCGGCAACCTATCTTTCATTACAACTCTGACAAAGCTGCTCATGGTCATATATTTCATTGACTGACAAACCTTTTGTTTATGTGCTTTGTTTTAAACTCTTTATTTCCAGGGATTCGATCTTATGCTCAGGATGTTGAAATGAAGAAAAAAGTAGATGAATATATTAAAGTCAATTTTAATGATGTTATTGTCAGTAAAAATTTCTATGGATTACCAAACTTACAAGTTGAAGTAGTTGGTAAGTGAATGATTATTATACAATAAAAGATGTCGTCACATAAAATAGCCTAATTTGTAATTTTAAGATTCTTTTATAGTCAAATCCCGTAGATACCTGATGGATCCTTTGGTTGGACCATTTTATTTTAGAGCTGGACGATATTTCGGTTTTCGATATAAAACCGTCACAGAAATAAAGTCGAAAATACTGTCTTCAGAAAAATGTCGATTTTCTGGATGATATTGATATTGAAAGAATGCCTTTTTTTATGTTATTTACGATATTTTATTGCTTAATTATGAATAAATAGCAATAAATACTGTTATTAACTCCTGAGTGATCATTCCACGAATTTAGCTAATGCCGATAAAGAGTTTGTTTACGTCATGTGACTTCTTGCTCACTTTTTCCACTCGACCAATACCTTTATAATTATTTCTGCTTCTATTGAATTTCTTGACGAATTGTTTATACAGATGCTTTGATTTTTCAAAGGAATCATTGATTTTCAGATTGAAATAAATTTTGATAAAGCAGAAATATAAATGATGCAAACTATATTGAGATTTCCGGTAGACTGATTATCATTCAGTATCGGACATGCATGGTGGTCCGTGATCTGAAAAAATGTATTTGACTAAATCAATGGACACTTTTGACATTTACTTACGTTTTATAGTATAATTTTTGTATTTTTACATTGCTTGGGTAAATGAATAGCATCCAATCGTAACCGTAGTTATAAAAAAAAAAACATGCACGGTCGAAAGAACACAAACCTTTTTTCATTGGTTTTTTTTTGTGCCTCATTCATGTAAATATTCTTAATTTAAATAAAGTATCATAATTAATATACTGGAAATTAAAATTGTAATAAACAACATAGACCAATATATTTAGCAAGTCTTCATGGCTTAAAAAAGATCTGTGTTTGAACCAGCTCAAATTTTGTTTGTAAATTCGGTACAGTATTTATGCTAAAAAAATTTAATAATATTGACAAGAAAGTGTCAAATGAATACTCCGGGGGTATTTCCAACTTTTTATGCATGTTTTTTTTTTTGTTTTTTGGGTTTTTTTTACATTTAAAAGGTGATAAGCTGAAATTATTGACATTGTATAAAATATTGCGATATAGTGATTATATCTGATTCCGGGGATATCGCCCAGCTCTATTTTATTTCTAAGATACAGGATCATCAGAAAAAAGAATGACGTCACTTTCCAAAAATAAAATCTTATGTAAAAGACATTCAGAACTGTGAAAATGGATAACAAGATGTCAGATTTCCTATTGATTTCTCAAATGGTCTGCAGTATGCACAAAGTGCCAGTAGCATTTTGATAATGTCCTCTCATCATGGGCTACAAACTGAAATATTGTTTACTTGAAAACAACAAACTGGGGGATCTTTATATCACAATTGATATAATTGACATTTGAAATGACTAAAGGTTTGTTATAAATTTGATATTTTAGGAGCTGATGAAGATTTATTAGATTCCAGCCAGCAATCACATCTGTTTGAGCTCCTCTTAATTTGGGTGAAAGAGCATCAAAATACAAAAAAATTCAAGCTTGAAAGATTAATAGAGCAAGTAAGTTGCCTACATGTGTTTTAGCGTAAGTTTCAATACATCATCAATGCTGTCTAGTCTATAATCAACATGTTTTAAATAATTCCTGAATGACACAATATCTGAAACACTTTCGAACAAAACATTTTCTGCGTGTATACGTCAAATCTCAGCCAAGGATTGCTAAATTTCCAGTTTTTTTTAAATTTTCGTTTCGCGTGTACCATAGGCCTGTTGTTAATTTCTGGTACCGTAACAGTGTCAGAATCATTAGTCGTGGTATAAATTTCATTTTATCTAGAGGAGCCAACAAAATCCATACAATGAATGAAATTTATACAATCTTTTATGCATTATTGTCAAATCTGACCCAAATTTGTTGTATTCACTTGATTGACGTACGTCTGTGTGTTTGAAAGAATTCAGTGTTTATGTTAGAAGGTTAATAAAAAAGCCCCAGAAAATGAGTATCAAGGGAAGTAACTCTTTGTGTGCGTTTTATTTGCTAGTGATTGTAGAATTATTTATAACAAACTATTGAAACTGTTTATTTCAGTCAAATGTCTTGTACCTTACAAGAGATAACACACTACAGGACTGTAAAGATTTTGAAGATAAAAGTTTGAAAGAGGATGAAGGAGTCCAGGATTATCGCAAACTAAAACGTAAACAGGTAAGGTCTCTGCATAGTGCAGAATTAATTTATTAAATAAATTCCTTCAATTCAAGATGGCGGACATCATAATCAAATGGGATACATACATTTTTGTTGTGTGGAGTTATTTATAGATATCCTTGAACATATTATTTTTCTACCAAAACCAGAAGACATTAATGCTCAAAAGGATTTCTCACAAACATTGTTTGTTTAACTTCTAATTGACAGGTTCCAGAACCTGAATTTAACCTAGCAGTAACTAAACATTGTCCTGTCTGGTGACATGTCAATGCTCCTCCAACCTTCTATTGTCTCAATGGAGTAAAATTTCAGTCATTTCCTTCTCATTACTAGATGTAGTTCACAAGATATTTATCATTCACATAAAAAATATTTATCGGCTACTGGTCACTTACGTATACAACCAGAAGTGTTTCATAAAGTTGGCTGTGGTAAAGACTAGTATCTGACAACCAGAATAGTTATTTAATATGGCCTTTTGGATATGGAGAGAAATGTTGTGCTTGGACATTGGCATTATAGGGCAAACAGAAAAGAAAGCTATCCTCAATGAAACTCATTCTTGGAAACCCAAAGTCTCTTGCCAATACACATACACTCTGGATGCCAATACACAGACTGACAGATGGACATGCTGTATGAATTTATTGTGCGCTTTATAGACAATTAGAATTTTTCTGGTAATTGAAAATAGGCACAGATGGTCAAATTATACTCTAGGGATAAATGAAAATTATGAGGACTGAAAAAAAAAAAAAAAATTAAAACAATATTCAAATTTTGAAAAATGAAATGAAATGGGGTTTAACGTCCTACTGATTCAGCTCAAACCAAATTTTGAATCACTGATTTCATTTTCTGTTCTTCGAGAATAGTCTACCAATTAAAAGTTGCATTCTTAATTCTTCAGGAAAAAGAATAATTCAAAAAGTTAAGTTGCACTTTTCAAAAGCTGCTAGTTACAAATTTTTAAGTTGTAAAATTTTAAACAAAACATTTTTTACATGATTCAATGGCCATTTATTTATCAACACTCTGAAGAATAGAAAATTAAATTCTGTGATGGTTATTCCTGTTTTATCAAAAGCTTGCCTCATTTACAACCGTGTCAACAACAAACGTTGGGTTTCCAAGCGTGACGGGATCGCAACTTTACTTTGTGTCCATTGAATTTCAGCACGGACACATCAAAGCCAATCAAAATAAAAATGGTCGAACATCAGAAACTAATAATAATCAGGTTAATTCGCTGCCATTCCAAAAATTTACCATTGTAAAAGATAAGTCTGTTCTAGAGAGAGAATGGAAAATCATCGCATTTAAAGAGACGGCAGGTATTATACCTTTTTAAGAAAACAATTATTGTTTTTTGTTGGTAAGCCTAAGATCTATGTTTTTCGATCAATATGTTACTGATCTTAACTTATTTTTTTAAAGGTAACAAAAGATTAGATTTGTTGATCTTTAACAATCTAATTCTATGTTTTACAGAAATTTGGTTGCATGAATATTAATTGTTTTTAAAAAATGGTAATTTCATTGATTATGGTTCATTAATTTTGTTAGATTTAGTGTTTTGATTACCTAAAAGAGGTTTAAAGTTTTGTAAATTATTCAAGTACTGTTTAAGAGAATTATTTTTGAAGTAGTTTTTTTTCCTTATTGGAAGATTTTCATGAATTTATTCTTAATTTATTCATGATTTTTATTTTCAGACAATACATATATCAGTATCTCCATTTTCAATGGTTGTTTGACAACCATATCTCTTCATTGTCGCGTTGCTAGGCAGAGTCCTTCCAACAGTATATCAGATACTCCAGATTCACCAGTACATTCAGTCTCAGATATCCAGTTTGAGAGAAGTCGTTCCCTAACCCCCTTAAAGAGTATGTCGACACCTAGATGTGGATTTGGTTTGAGAGCTGTTGGTGATATTTTAATAGCCAGTGGTAAGTTGTTTAAACACTTGAAATGAGTAACCTTTTACATCTTGTTGCTGAACCAGTATGAGTCTTTAGAGTTGGGGAGGAGGCATTTTGTTTGCTAATATTTGGAACTCAGTTGCAATAGCCTGAGAAATTTTTTAAAGGGAGTTCTGAGCATTTGTGTCTATGTGCTACAGATAATCTCAAGACCCATTTCTAGTATTCCTTTGTGGTAATATACAGACATAAGTTGAAGTTTTGTTTGATCTATTAGTGATTGTTTCATTAGGTTGAATTGTATGGTAACAGTGAAAACAATGATTTAAGACATGTATTTTAGATTACCCAGCTGTAAATCGGTGAGGATAGGATGGTGTTATGCAACTACACAAAAACACAGTTGTTTTTTGGGGGGAAGCATTAAGTTGGGTGAGCTAGGGTAAAGGGAGATAATCAGACTTTACCTGTATCCCAGGATAATAATAATGTTGCGTTTTGAGCATATCTCTTGGTGGTGTGGATAAAATGTATTCAATCTGATTAAAATACACATCTATGTTTCTTTTCATTTTTTTTTATACTTTCGATGACCTTCACTACATGGAGATATGACCGGTTGTTTTCGGAGGCCGCGTATTGGGTCTTTAGACAAGTAACAGGAAATTTTGCACTATAAAAATTGAAACAAAATTGATCTGTGTTTTAAATCAGATTGAAGTGCATTATAAATATACACATTATTTTTATACGCCCACATTGTAATGTGTTCGTATATTGTCGTCGCCCCCATCTATAGGTCTGTTGATTTTCAACAATTTTCAATAATTACTGTTGAAAAATCTTGTACTTGTAGAAGCTCTTGAGGCTAAAGTTAAAATCCAATTGACTTTAGATTTATACACAGTGTTTAAGTTCATAAGACGAAGAATCTTATTGATTTTCAGCAATTTCAAATAGTTACTGCCAGAGTTATGGCCTTGATCTTTTTGAAAGTTAATATCCGATTGACTTTAAATTTATACACAGTGTCACGAGATGCAGAAGCCTATTGATTTTCAGTGATTTCCGATATACACAGTGTTTAAGGTCATGAGACACAGAAGCCTATTGATTATATAACATTTAATTAAGTAAACAAGATCAAAAGACCAATGCTAGATATTGTCCCAGCTTGGATTGGATTTATAGCAGGCCTACCAATACTTTTTTGCGGACCGCAAAATGACCGCTTATTACATAGCAAATCATGATCAACATAGATTGATGAAATTTCAATTCAACATATCTTTGTAATTATAGATCAACTTATCTTCTTCAACTTTTTTATTGGTGTCAAGAGTCGATTACTTACATTAATCCGGCAGTAGTCTTTTGAAATAGGCATATAAAATATTTCACTTTAGCTCTTATTTAATCTGACCACTTGAAGTCATGACATCAAACTTACGTAGACCAGGGTTAGCTTCTGTGGGCATATGTTTCGTTACCTGGCAGCCTACATTTATTCTTATTTTATGATTGTTTATCTTCAGGTGGTTATGATCGGGGTGAATGCATGAAATCTACAGAGTGTTTTGATATTGAAAGTAATACATGGAGGATACTAGCGGACATGAATACGTCACGAGGTCGATTTTCTACAGCACGAATGGGTAACATGATTTATGCATGTGGAGGTTCAAACGGATTGCAAGAATTGCGATCAGTGGAAGTTTATGATCCTGAAAAAGATCTCTGGTCGTTCGTGGCTCCAATGTCAAAGGATAGATCCTCACCAGGTATGGAGTCCCAATTTTGTTTGTTTTCTTCTCTTTATTTCTTGACGAATATTTTTGGAAATTTCAGGAATAGTTTATTTAGTATTAGTCTACTAATGTCTGCCGTCATTGTCTGCTGTCCAATTGTCAATCTAACTTTGCTTGTGAACATTCTACACAATACAGGTTTTTGCGATTTTTTTCAAAATTTGCAGGGATTGTTCATTTGGTTGTAAGGAAAATAGGGGGGCGATGGGGTGGATGGCTGAATGGTTAGCACATGCCAATCTAAACCTTTATAATTTTCTATCATTGTATTTTTGGATTTTTTTAGGTTGCGCTGTATTAAATGATAAATTATATTGTATTGGTGGTTGCATGGGACAGGACAGTATTGCTGGATGTGAAGTCTATGATCCTAAAAATGATAGTTGGTCTGATATAGCATCCCTTCAAATAGGTAAATATATCAGGGATGGTCAAACCTGCACCGGTATCAGACTACCTAAACCTGCGATATAATGATACTACTTATAAGAGAATTCGAATTATTTATAATTTGCATATATAGATGAGTGACCTTTATAAGTTTATATTCATTTTACATGTGACGTCACATATTGCAGTCTCGATCAGTGGCTCGATAGCTTGTGCAATGTTTATACAACAAATGAATGAATACTGTCTAATTTTTTTGGTGTACGATAAACTTTTAAGTCAATACTGACCTAAGAAGGATTTAAATTTTTCGTGCAAATTGAAAATGCCCTTAGAATGACAGTTAGTTTTTGAAATTATATGCAGTAAATGACTAATTATACATATCTTTTTGATTTAAAGCACGATACCAGGCGTCTGTTAGAGCCTATCAGGGTAAATTATATGTAATGGGCGGTACCGATGGCTGGCATTGTCTGAAGTCTGTAGAAGTTTACGACACAGAAACAAATGAATGGAAGTTTATAGAATCTCTAAATGTGTCTAGACGCGGTGCTGGTGTTGAAAGCTATCAAGGTTTGTTATGAGCTTGGTTGGGTATATTTTCCTGCCGAGATTTTGATATAATTTTCTCTTGTATTTTGGGCGCAAGAAAATTCCTTTTTTTTTTTAGCCCATCAAGCCACTAAACACTAAATCACGCATACTATATCGCAACCAATTAAAATAACGTGCACCATTTGCATTTTTCTCTGAAATATCAAATTTCTGACAGCTTAATCTATGCTAATATGTGCTCAGATTGATTATATAACATTTAATTAAGTAATTAAATAAGACCAATGCTAGATATTGTCCCAGCTTGGATTTAGTTGGATTTATAGCAAGCATACCAATACATTTCTGGGGACAATAAAATGGCCGCTTACTACATTGCAAAGCAGCATAGATCGATTAAACTTTTTTGACTATGAAATTTACATTTCTATAGGGACTCATATTTTGGTAACATCACGGTACCTGAAAATAATAATTATATCGTACACGCAAAATCTTATTTTAATTCACGTGTTAAATGAACACTCGTACAGCTGTGGCGGCTTCTTTGATGATTATCCAATCAACAATCTTAATCTCCTTACCACTAGCTGGCACTAAGGTGCTAATTAATTGATGAGATTAACTGAGTTAATCTCACCAAAGTTATAATATACACGCAGACTACTAATGTATAGATTGTTCTTCAGTATAACACTATCATGTGAATATTATGCCGTATGTGTTGTGGATGTTTCGTTAAGAAAAGAGTGCATTTACTACGATTTTCAACGTCAGCACCCTTGAAATCCAAAATAAAAAACATATTAAACAACAAAATAGCAAATAAATTGCGGAAATAGTCGGATCAAATTTTTACTATGATTTTCATCTTCAGCACCCCTGAAAACCCATGGAAAGATATATTCAACGACAAAACGGCAAATAAATGGCCTGGTTGCTATGGGATTTTGTTTTGGAACATACCAAATCTTTGACTTGCTTTTTCTCAAAACTTACTTTTGTGAGTTGGGTAGCTTCTAATGGACACAGCTCAGTCAATTTTTGCCCAATTCAAACAAACTGTACATCAAATTGAAGGTAATGAGTTGGAGAATGTAAAAATAACAATAACTCAATTTTCAAAATTTCCTCATTGTGACTCAGTATGCTATGAGGGGTCACATATGTTAAATGCTCATGTGGAAATCTGTTTAACGGTTTCATTGGTATGGGAAGTGACCTTGGTTCAAGGGTAATGTGGCACCTGTGAAACCCGTCATCACTGCATCTCAGTTCCAGTTATTTTTAATATTTCAGGTAAACTGTTTGTGATTGGTGGAAATGATGGCGTAACCTCCCTAAAATCTACAGAAGTACTGGATGTAGAGAATGCAGTCTGGAAATTTGGTCCTGCCTTGACATCTCCACGTTCGAATGCAGGATCTGCCGTTCACGGTAAACGACTCTTTGCTGTTGGAGGTTTTAACGGCAAGAAATTCTTGGACACTATGGAATACTTGGATGATACGCAAGAATGGTCACATTACGCACCAGTACCAAAAATAAGAAACTCAAACTCATTAGAGAGCGTACACAGTGAGGACTCCGCCTTGGTCAAATGTGATGCAACTTCTTCTGTGATGGATGATCCCATTCACTGATTGTTTAAAAAAGAGGGTTTGTGTTTTGTTTACTAAGTTCTAGATGAGAAATGCCCAAAAGATATGTTTGTGTTTATTTATATATTGTTATTTTTTATTACTCACTTCAATATCGTAAAATAATAATAAAAAAAAAATTATGTAGTGCCCCCCTTATTTTTTGTAAGGGTCAATCTGTGGTTATATAATATGTCTTGGACTGATTTGAAATCTGAACATTGATTTACCCAAGTTTTATTGGGAAATATTTGAGTTAAAAAATGGGTAAATGTTTGTCCTGAAGTAATGGAAAGTGAAATAAATGGTTTGATATTTGACATGTTGCTTTTATATAGGTCAACTTAGAGTTTGTGATTTGGTTAAAAATAAAAAAAATCATATTCATAATCTGGTGTTAGTTCATTGCCCAATTTCAAAGACTGGTCAGGGCATCAAATGTTTGAGAAATTCATCCAAGTTTTATGTTTTAGTAAGATTTAGTAGTGAATAGTGATGTTAACCAGAATTGTAGTTTAGAAACAATATAGTCTTGCATCTCTCCAGCCCAGCCCAGATTGTCTTTGCATTTACACAGAGTATTAATCTGGACGAAATAGTGCAAATTTTGTATACAAATTTAGGCAGGGGCGAATAATTTTTTGGGAAAAAAAAAATTTATTGGGGATCAAAAATCTGAATGATTCCACATGTTTCATAGAAATTGGTTCTTCTTCTAGAAATGTGAACTGCGATTGTAAATTGAAATATGACATAAAATTTACTTATATTTATCATTTTCATAAGAGCACTTAATACAAAATTTAATTGAGTATTTTGTGTTTAATATTGCACAGATCTGTGTTGTGTTTTACTGAATTCAGGAATTATATTTTCCATAAGTATCTGATGCCAATAGATAAAACAGTTCTAATATCGTGCTTAAACATAAAGAGGCATTAGGGCTTTGGAGTACATTGGTGGGCATGCAAATTTGATTGCAAAGTTTAATAGATCTGATAATCCACCGCTTATGTGGAAACGTTTTAGGATTCCATATGAGTCATATTTTCTAGCCTGTTTCGGTTTTTTAAGATTTAACTAGCACTATGGAATAATTCTTGGATCTAAATAGGCTAATTCTTTGATTTTTGATAATTAGATGAGGGTTATTTTAAATTTGAAATTTATATGTTCTTGTTTAGTTACCAATGTCTCTTTATGTTAACAATTCAGAATGTTTTGTATTGCAAAATATATATATACTCATATTTTGTTTGAATGTGCAAAATAACAGTATAATGCAAATGAACAAAATTCCAGTTCTAGTCTATTTGAACCTTAAACTTTTTAACTTTTAATGAAAAACTTGGATAGGTTTCTGATCTCAGAAATGTTTGTAATTATGTATATATATTTTGTGTTTATTTTACTGCCATTTATAACAAATATATAATTATTTTCTTTTTTCTTTTCCAATGAAATGATATCAAATCTATTTTTCTCCTATTGTATATATTTTCAAAGAATTTTTGATTGGTAGTATATGTATACTTTTATACACCTATATTCATTGTGTACATACAGGTTTTGATCATCCAAATTAGTTATGAAAAAAGAAAAAGTATAAAAACTTAGTGCTATTACTATAATTAATTTTTGGGGCATTCATCGTTGGGTTGATTCATGTCGTATTTTCGGAAATCATGACTGAACTATTTGGGGAGTTTTCAAACACTTTCCTTCAAGTTACAGAACATATACCGTTTTATCGATGGCATATTTGTCCCCAGTAACAACTATGGCAATCAGGGGTTTTGAACGCATTCTGGTCGAATGTCAAAAAAAAATTAACAGTTTTACCGATTAATCTTGTGCAGTAAATTAATGCGTTAGCGACTAAGGTCTTTGAAAGTATTTCGCATATGATTTTCCTAAATCTCCAAAAATATGACATCGAACGTCAAATATGACAATATATATATGACGATTGCATTTATTTTTAAGAGTAGGAGTTAGGTTACCACTAAGTGTTGTTTACTTGATCTAGTGCATTTTGGAATATAATAGGTAAAGTACATGCAATTGGTAGTATCTTCTGTTTTCTAACATTTTTGGTTTACTTAAAACATTGACTGATTAAATTTTGAATGTAGCAATATGGCCAGCTAGCAAAATATTGGAACTGGCAGATCTGGTTTGTTTAAAGAATTTAAAATAAAGGGTCCATATAAGGATCATGAATTTATAGGTTTAGGATCTCTTTCAAAAATGTGATAAAAAGCCATTTAAACCTCCCATTTTCAAAACTTTTTTTTTCGCAAATGAACATTGTACTAAACTATTGATATTTAATTTAATTATTTTGGCAAAGATAGTTTCTGCAAAAATGCCAATTTTTAACCCCATTAATTGTGCTTAAAAAAAAAAGCTTTTAAATTGAGGCACATGCCTGAATAGACTTTAACCTAACAGAGTTAAATTAGGATATTTTATAAATAAATTTAATTAAGGCACCAGCCTGAATCTACTTTAATCTAACAGGGTTATATTAGGATATATTATGGATTAAGCAAATAATGATAAAATAAACTATTTATTTTTCATAAATATTCCATTTTCATTTCCCAATTAATTTTTTTTTTGTTACTATAATTATTTGGCTGTACTCTTCCTCTCCTAATTATTTTAATCATTTCCATATCAATCAGAGTGGACTTTAAACAACCTTTTCACACACTGTTATATTGTCATCAAAAATAGAGAATTTATATTTCTTTTTCCTATCACATGGAACAGATTTTCTTTGATTTTCAAATTTATATTGAATTCAATTGTTTAGTTTGTATTTTCCTATTTTTTTTTCTTTTCATATGACAACATACAGAATAAAATGTCTTCTCATTCAAAGTTACGTTGTTTTTTTTTTGTCATTCTGAATGTGTTAATATGAAGCACAGTGTCCACCATTGATAAAACATGTCCACCAAACATGACGAAATTCATGATTTATGAACCAATGTCCTCCAAGTGTGACAACTTCATGAAAGCGTTTGTGTTTGAAAAGTTTGACCTTTTAGTCCACCAAGATGATAAAGAACCAGTGGCTGTAAATATTTGGAAATACTGTTCTTCGTTCGGTTTGTCGAAGTGAATCATAATAGGTCATTTCGTTTGGCTAGAAATTTGATCAGGCATCCGAGGACGCATTGCAGTAGTTGCCACATTTAGTAGACGCTGGCCTTCAGATGAAGCAGATGCTAGTCTTGGGCAGAGAAGAATTACTGGCCAAGAATAACAATGGGATTTTTCAAACATGGTTCACTTTTGTTATGGGTGTATGCCTGTGAGATCGACGAGGAATGTGTTTTGTCATTCAGATGGACAAAATGCTCTAGATTAAGTTTTTAAATATTTATCCTAAAGTTCAGTATCCAAAAGAAGATTTTGCAAGGAAGAGAAAAGCTATAGGGATTTTAATGGATCCCCAAAGGTACGCCATGCCCCCACCCACATGCGGGGCCATGGACCAGCTGCAACCTTTTAAATTCCATCTTCCATTATATCAATGCCGCGACCATTAAACTTTATTATACATAGGGGTTTAAGGTTCCACTTCTGCACTGACTGGGCTAATAAAGTCGGGAAGACTTGAGATTTCATCACTAGTTGATGTATAACGTCTAATGACATCGAAATTTCATGATAGGTTTGTCAACCCCCTTCAGACAATCTTGGGCGTGTTATAAAGATTAAACGTAATTATGCAAGAGCTAAATCTGCCTATTACAGGTCTTTCTTTAGACCTGAAATGTTTTCTACATTATTAATTAGACATTAATTAACTGACCCAGGCCATAATCGACTCTAGGTGGCATCGGATTTATCCGATATTAAATAGATTAGAACGGTTCAGACATATTTCGATTTAATCTAAATATGGAGGAGCGAGACTTGGCTTCGAACAACCAGTACGGTGGTTGAAATTATTGCACACGTCTTGTCAAACCTTCAAAGGCTAATATCTTCGCTCACAATAGAGTAATATGAATTAAATTTTCAAATTATTCATTTTACATTATCTATTTTTGAACTATTATAGCAAGAATGGCTAGCTCTTTATCTAAATCTTACATAATGCATCTTTAAGTTCAAAATTTTCAAAAATGGCCAAGAAATGATAATGAATTAACTGTTAAACGAGCCAATTCTTTAATCCGTGGCACCTAGAAATAGAAAAAGTGGGTCGCAATGCATATAATAATATATAGTTTAAACTTATTTTATTGCATCGACATATCATTGTACAATACAAAAGGATTAAACAAAAGTTCTAACAACTTATAAACGTCTTCTCCTTGAAAAAAAAAAATTAATTGATGAGAATATTTCATATGATAGATACGAAGTTATATTCATTTCATTGAACTAATAATATATACTCTTCAAAAAAGTAGGGGATATTCAGAAACAATACAAAACTGCGGTAATGCACTGCTGTTTTTATTAGAGGTAACAAGTGTGTTTTAATAACGGGCCAATTGCCACATGGGCGGCTTATCTGACGGCCCCATTTCACTCGCAAAGAGATGCACCGTCAAAAGTGAAAATGGACGTTTTTGATTTTTGTCTTGATAATGAGTAATTGCTCCACCAATCCCCAGACATTCAGCAATTCGTCGTGGCATGCTCCTAATCAACCATCCAATCACGATTTGGGGCAATCTGACCCACTCCTCTTGTTGTGCCACGGCTAATTCTTGCAGTGTTGTCGGTTGACATTGACGTCGACGAACACGTCTCCCGATCAAATTAAACGTAACACACTAAAGCAAAGATACGCTAAACAGTAAATCTTATGCATGAACCGATAGGAAAGCAAACATGGATAGATAAACCAGCACGCGGCAGTTTTCATCAACCCTTCCTTGAAGTGTCAAATTTGACAATGAACCCCTCCCACATGTTTGGCGCTATTGAGTGTCGCATGTGCAGCTCAGTGGTTCTGTTGGGGCGATAAGTTCTTCATCTGTGAACATACACTCAAAGCATGTCAAGTGTCCATGACTATTTATATCACAAACTGCATGGGTATTTGCATTTCAATATCCCCTACTTTTTTTTTAAAGAGTATAATATGAATGTATATACTGATTCACATTCAGTCGTTTCTATTTTTATTGTAATGTCTAATCATATTTGTTCGGTGAAATACAATAGCGTACCAATTGAGTAGCATTCTTTGGCGTCTTGTTATTCCAGTCTACATTCTGCATTGGTAGTATTCTCCCCTAGGATATGTTTAGCATCGTTCATCGAGTCGCGTCATTACAAATGACACCCAAAACCATTCTGGCACGCAATTCGTGTGCCAATTTCCAGGTAAGATAACAACACCCGTGTGGATTTAAATTGACCAATTAGTCGTGTTTGCAATGTCGAAGACTGTGCATGATAATGAGTTAAAAGACTTAGTTACGTTAAGTCAATGGTGAGAGAATTAGTAGTCACGCCCCTTAGTATATATCCCAGCACAGTAACTCTACAGCATCGCAGCCCCTGGATATTTTTTTTTTTATCTTGGAATAATGTATTTGTGGCGAGATACATTTGTCGAAATATGAAAGTAGTATTTTGTTTTTACTGTCACCAATTGTCCCAAATAATAAAAATATATAGTCGCGGTCTTTAAACTTACTTTAAGATTGTTTAAATTTAGATCAACCTGAATTTTATTTTTGTTGCTTTGTGCTTATTTACAAACTAAGTGATTAGAAACCAAGTATAATATGGTAGAATCCATCATAGCACAACAACAGGCGTTTTCCCACTATTCCAACCCATGAACAGCAACTTCAGGGTGGTCCAATATATAGCCTAACTATACAGACCAGAATTCCAGTCCACGGGGCTGCGTCGCGGGGTATGGTAAGTTCAAATATTTTGCCGCTCGCTGATTACCCACGCCGCCGTTTGTAAGCGGAATCTAGGTCAGGGCGATCGAACCAGAAATGTAATTTGGGCCTTAATTGTATATTAAATAAAATACATAAACAACAATTTTTATATTAGATCACTGCCTTTTTTTAAAATCTATTTACATTTTCAAGGACACACATTATGATGAATACAACTTAAAGGGCCTTTAGCTGAGTGGAATAAAACTGGTCGCACACATAATATTTACATCTCATCTGTGGGCTAAACATCTCATCTGCGGGCTGTGGGCTTTTATTCCCAATAAAGGTATTATTGAACAAAATCAACTATTCATTTGTTTCCACACAAGTTTTCAATATGCGCTGACATTTGTTACATTCTTATCTGTGCTACCTGCTTACGACAATCATACGCGCGAAATTTTATGATCCATGCGTACGTTTTGGTTACCTTGGTTATGGCTTAATCGTTCAGAATCGCACCCACTTGTAGCTTCGATTATTAAATCTTGAAAAGACCATCACTGAACGGAAAAGAAAAGTCTTAAACTGCTTCACATTTTCTGACCAAAACAGCGTTTGTTTACATATCTGCGAGGAATAATAATGCGGAAGTAGAGGGTAGAAGATATGAGTGAGGTGCAACTGGGGGTGGGGGGTTAACAATGCGATCTGCCCTGGAGACAAAAGTGGAGAACCTCGAAGACGTACTAGCACAAATGACGTCATATGTGTATTGCGGGTTAGGGGTAGGGTTAAGGTTAGCGCTAGCCTTGTTTGCATAACGAGACCTTGACGAAATCTTCAGCCCTAACCCTTACCATAACTCACACTCCACATATGACATCATATGTGCTAGACCGTCTTCGATCTAGCGTTCTCCGACAAAAGTTGAAGCTATGAGCCATTGTTAAAGGACAATATTGGTGTCAGTCATTATAAAATATGTGATAGAGCTCGTTAAATACATCCCAAATATAATTTTAACACAGAGATCATTGCTACGGGAGTTGTGTAACAAGCACGTGAAGAAACGGGAAGTGACGTCAAAAAAGACAAACATGAGTTGTCCTTCTATATAACTGACTGAAGTAACGAGCGGTAACAGACAAACGATCGAATTTCATTTTACTGATAATTCCGTTGAAGATGAAAAGTTGATATATGAAACGATGAGAGGATATCTGACAATTCAAAAAAAGAATTGGCTGTCAGTAGATAAAAGATAACGAACAAATTAGAAAAAGTAGGAGCATTACCATGTTTTTATTAAGAACAGAATGAATAAAAACGGGGGAATGCACGGGATTTTTCTACCTTTTCTCGTGTCCCTTATCTAGTGACAGCCAATTCTATTTTTGAATAGTGAGATACCCTCTCACCGTCCCATATAATAACTTTTCAACTTCGACGGAATTATCAGTGAAATGAAATGCGATCGTTTGTCTCTTACCGCTCGTTACTTCAGTCAGTTATATAGAAGGACAACTCGTGTTTGTCATGTTTGGCGTCACTTCCTGTTTCTTCACGTACTTGTTACACGTCTGTGTTAAAATTATATTTGGAATGTATTTAACCAGTTCTATCACATATGTAATAATGCCTGACACCAATATTGTCCTTTAAGCATTCACGGCAAACGAAATTAAACTTGGTGAACTGGGGCCTGTTGCTCAAAACTCGGTTATTTTAACGATCCATTAAACTCTAACTGATCGTTATCTTGCTAAAGTGTCATTTGTTAACGGCACGTTAAATTTCTATTGCTGGAAAGTCAATTTCATTATCCGATAGCTGACTGATTAAAGTTAATCCAAGAGAAGTCTATGTGGTCATTGGATGAATTTCTAAATTTCAAATTCAGAGTTCATGTATAACAACTTCATAGAATTTGGTATTAACAAGAAACTGAAGAAAGGAGATAACAGTGCAGTCTGTTCACAATACTTGATTTAAAAAGATATGTGTACTTCGACTGACAGTCGACTAATGTCAACGTTAAACAGATAAGGGAGCCTAACACCTTCGTTAAATATAACGTACGGTAAGAACGACATGTTAAAGTTAACAGGGCTTCCAGCAACAGACTTTAAAGGTAGTTTTGAACAACCGGCCACAGACCGGAATTATTGGCATACCTTCTGATGTATGGCTCACTCGTTAGACCATTTGACTCCTTCAAAGAGCTCACGGTCCACATTTAATTCTGATGAACATGATTACATATTATGAAAGTTTCGAGTGACATTTTTAGAAGGTGAAATGTGACTATAACTAGTATAACTACAATAATAATATAATTTAAGTGTACAATAATAAATTATGCGTGTCTAATATTAAGTCATACTTATATTATAGTACAATTGACATGACATTTAGTGAAAAATGGCATCACTAAATATAGCTATATTGGAAATTCAAAACTTAAAAGAGGTACTAGCGTCAGTCGATAAAAAAAATTGTTTTAGATTTACGTGATTTAACGTGGGAAATTTTCAATATAAATCTGGTGACCCAACGCTGCTATTTATGAAATGGGGTTTAACGTCCCACTGTTCTGCTGTGACTGCTAAAGAAGATGGACACTGAGGTATTTAAATCGTATAAAGTTCAATATACGAGTGATACAAAAAGTAAGTTCTTGGATTTTCAATAATTCGGCAATTGCCGAACCCTGGGCTAAATACTAAGTCTGAAAAATGCCAAAGAAAAATAAATCTAACCTAAGCTTAATGATTACGAAATGTTTTAGATTTTGGGGTATCTTAGATATTTAAACAGTGTACTAATTAAACTGCTGTGATAATTAAATTTAAAAAATTCCAATGTGCCAATGAGTCACTGTAGCCTATGTTAGACCTGTTCATAATCACTACATCATGAACTTCTCTGTATAATATACAATTATGAATAATAAAATATACATGTGACTGACTATATATAACTAGCTGATCCTACGTCATTGGTGACGAGGTTCACAATATTATTAGGCTAATGTACAAACTTAAAATTCATCAAATTCCGTTTAGTTTAAAATTCGACCATCCTTTCTAGTGGTCTTCTATTATGTAGTCCAGGGCGCCTCTATTCTGCATGGCACCAAAACTCATTGAATCGACTAGCAAAAACAATGGTATTGACGAGTCCGAAATACACAATGACATTGACATATTATAAGTAAAAGCGCAGAGTCTTGATATTGATAAATGGCGAATCTAAAAACCATAATAGAATAACCACTAAATACGATTACATGTATATTATGAATAGGCCTAATGTTCTTTGGCGACAGAGCCTATAATGAAACGGTACTTATATGAATTAGAGCCACGTATGCCTTTTTCTGGGTTCTGGTTCATAGCATTTGTGATCACAGCGACATTTTTTAATCCACATATAGTTCATGTATTCTCTCCTTCCGCCATGACACTCGAATTCAATCAATCTTGTGCGTGATTTGTGTGGATAGCAACACCTGTTTAGTTTACAGTTCGTGCAGAATTTAAGATTATAAGTCTTGACACTACGACAGTCTTGATACTGAATTCTCTGTCTTATACCCCCTCTAGTTGTCGGTGTACATTTTGATCGTCCCTGTTAAGAAAACAAATTACAAAAATATAAAGCATTAACATTTTCAAGGTAACCAATCATTACATTAGTTCACGTCATCGGATTCATTTTGTAAACGTTTCGAAAACTGTTCAATACACAAGCGCGGCCACCTTTAGGGGACAAAGGCAGTGACGAAAGGCACGCAAGAGGAATGGGTGGTATTGTGGCCATCTAGGTGAAAGGACACTTCTAAACAGCGTTATATAACAATGCTTATCAGTATTAAAGAAAATTAAAAAAATACATTTCATAATCAATTCTACCCCCGTAAGGATTAACCCTGATGCCTGCTTGTGCTTCTTCATCTATTAGTGTTTAACGCCCGCTCCCACTGATCGTGATATCGCAGATACTCTCGCACCAGGGATCGAAACCACGACCACAAGCCATAGGTGACCGACCAAATAGAGCTCGAACCGCGACACTCTAGACCACTAGCCCCCCCCCCCCATCCTGCTTGTGCTGTCGAAATTTCTTCCTAAATAGTCTGGAGCACTGTTTTCTTCAATTCTGCATGATCTGTAAAGCTGCATTTCCTCCTAAAATTGTACTGCAGCAAGATCACCCTTCCGCCGATATCCACACCCCATTATTAATTATTAAGGTAACAACTGATTATCTCCGGGATCCTGATAATGTTTATTTGGTCGAATTTTGTCTTTATGTCATATCCCGCGCCAGGTGAGGGAGGTGAACAGATATCAGATCTTCGACAGAAGTTTCTATAAAACATTTGTCTATTATGTGTAGGATAAAGCACGAGACAGAGGTTTTGCTAGGGAAAAAAGTCTGAAGAAAATAACCCTAGAAAAAGGAAAACCGTGGCCTTTATCTTGCTTATAAACAGTCTATGTTTACATGTACGTAAAATCAGAAGAATTCCAGTAATAAAAACCTTGTTTTCTTCCGGAAAAAACCCTACCCTGGAAGAATAACCCGTTACGGGCTTAAAGAAAATCTTTCAGAAGAATAATCCCAAATTCTCCTGTATATATTCAAAGCCGCCCCCGATTTTGAGACGGCAGGTTATTTCGGGCATAGAATATACCCAAAGATCAAAGAGATTTACAGTTATAGGTTTACAATCTGGGATATGGCGATTTTAAAGGTATAACTTACATATGTTCGTAGTTCTTTTATACAAGGTCGAATATAGCAGACTCGTCGTTCTTGTTTAGGACTACAATAAGCATCAGCAACAATACGTACTGAGGTACCCACTCCACACGATGCCGAACAAGCACTCCAATTAGACGGTGCTATCATACATTTTGTTTTCAGATACTCCAGTTTAGGAGACTTTGTCGTTGAATCTTTAAAAAAAAAATGAGTTATAATATAACATAATTACAGATGGTTTGAGATAAACAGCATAACGTCACAAGTTGCCAAAATGGACAGAATATGCCCAAATTAAATTTAGAATGTAGGTGTGCACAAATTAAAGTGACTCATACATTCGAAAAGAATTGACTTGCAGATCAAGTCCCATGGATTGATATATACATTAATTGTTTATGTAAACTAAAACTAAAAATCTACAACAGAATCCAAACAAAATATAGCAGTTACCCTTTAATGGTTGTTGAAGAACTAAATTCTGACTTTCAGGTACCATAGGTGAATCTCTCGCCCAACCCTGTCTCTCGTATCTGTTATCACAAGTCCATTCTTTACAGCATTTACCGGCCACTGACAGTAAGACAGGATTTACACAATACATATCTTTAGGTTTATTTTCTTCCTGGGGACATCTATTAACACAACCGTAGAAACCATTCTGACACGTGCAGGTACGCCTACACTCTGGTTGAAATTCCTGGCCGTCCTCATATTTTATGCCATTCACGATACACGGTTTCTTTATTTTGGCTACAAAACACAAAAAATGATCAAAGCTGACTTTTTCAAGGTTTTGCAACTGCGGCGGCAAGATATGTAGGGGATCCGCGGGGGGGGGGGGGCTCTTTCCCCGGGCCCCCTCGAAATTTTTGAAATTTTGACTCTCTAAATGATTAATCATGTCCCCGTACTTTGACGATTTTAGCTTCACTGGGGGGTGGGGTTGGGGTTGGGAGGGTTGGGGTTGGGAGGGGGGGGGGGGGTAGCGTTAAAAGTAGCCTGCTATACATCTACCAAATTGCCAACTAATGGGAACCAAAATGTAATAATTTCTCAGTTACAACTGGATATGGAAAATGTTCCAATAAATGTAACCTATTACCACTTTCCACTAGCGCACACAATCCTTATCCGATGGCGCGTGGATAACTTATAACATGTGCACGGTAAATGATAAGGCCTATTATGTACGCAAGTATCATGAAGTCGATTCCACATGTATACGTGTCAAGACGTAGGTTCGCCTGCCTAATCCCATGCCTATAGCCAATAACAATGTAGCTGATGCTAGGATTTGGAATTAATGCTTTTGGGCATAGCAATCAAACACCATAGTAGATACCAAGCATGTCTGTCTTCGGATGATATCAGATTTGATTAGTTTTGATTTAAAGAGAGAAACCACAGCTATGTATTTCTTAAATAAAACGAGCCAATTTCGCACGGAAGACCCTTAGAAACATTTATCCTAACCATGTACAACTATCTGGAACTTTTTCACCCACATACAAACATTCAACTTCTGTGGTTGGCAATTTCCAGTTAGTCAATATATCCAACGCTATCTCCAAGTAACTTGATAGTTATGTTTAAATACTTGCCAAATTAGGTGGCAAATGATCGTCGCAATGCAATCTGATTAAAACACAAATCCTATTTCATTTCGTTTTTTATAGTTCAAAATTTCATTTTAATTGTCTTTACTACACAAGGATCTGGAAGAGTTGTTATATAACCCGCGTTCTGGTTGATGTAAGGGATTAGCCAATGAAACGGTCATTTGCAGCGAGTTCTAGGCGTGCGAGGCACAGAACTGTGGATATCCAACTAGAAAATCAACGCTAATTGGTTAATCAAATGTCTGACGTCATAGGGCCAAAAGCCGCTCGTATGACCTCTGACGAGACCTCCCACTACAACCAGTCAGATCTTCATGTAGTATAAAAAACGAAACGAAATATAGATCTGTATTGTAATCAGATTAGTCGCAATGGTCAAAACACTCACAAAACAAAGAAGGCCGTTAAGCATAGCTACAGTGTCTTAATATTTTGATCTACATTTGGGCTATTTCTACACATTCCTGGCATTTAATTTGTATGAATGTGTACCAAGTGAAATCTGTCTCGCCCTTTAAGAAGTCACATACGTTATAAACGAATACTTACCTTGACATATGCCAGTTTTATTGTTAGTCATATCACAGAATAAACCAGCGCTTGTGTCACATTTATCTTTTGTACTGCACAAATCTCCTCTCTGTCTGGCACACATAAAACAACAATTACAGCCATCTTTAATATGGCTGACCCCTTCGTTACATCTTAATTCTTGGACAGCACATTGACATGGATAATGACATAATGCTGATTCCTGAAAATATAAGGATATCGAATTGTTTAGTAAATGGCATCCATGTCGCAAAGATCAAAATTACGGCACTTTAAAAATATTTTCAATGAAATGAAATAGAGTTTAACGTCCTACTTGTCTACACTAACGTGGCAACTGAAGACGGGCATACATTACACAGGGTGCTATGAGGTAAATTTTGCACTACGGTCCACTTTTTATGAAGGGTTCTTTTCCGTACATACAGACAGCTTCGTGTTCATTGGGTTGCTACCGTTACGTTACGTTTCGATTTTACTGAACTCCGAGCTGATCAACCCAATTCTTTACTTTATTTTGACCCTAATCCAAGAGGTTTAGCTCCTTTAAAGGGACAGTAGTAGAGTAATCGGAGCTTTGGAATCACTGGTAATGGAAAGACGTCATATACCTCCTCCTCATTTTGGATTCACTGGTAATGAAACGAATGGAAGGCATCATATATCTCCTCGCGTTGGATTCACTGGTAATGAAACGAATGGGAAGATATCATATATCTCCTCGCTTTGGATTCACTGGTAATGAAACGAATGGAAGGCATCGTGTATCTCCTCGCGTTGGATTCACTGGTAATGAAACGAATGGGAAGATATCATATATCTCCTCGCGTTGGATTAACTGGTAACGAAACGAGTGTAATTTTCTCGAGGACGCATTCTATAATGAAAATTAGAGCAGCTTTGTCATTAAAAAAAAGAAAGTCAGTCTAATATGCAAATTGTCATATATACTCCATCATGTTTCGCGAATTAGTTTGTAGTAAATTGCCACCTTAACCCGTTGCCACACCTCTTAATCAAACATTATCCTCTTTAATATTATTGTTTAAACTCTTGTGGATATATTTTAATTCTGTGTTCTAGCCAATGCTCAAGTTGCTGTCTAATAAACTTCTTAACTCCGTTTGTATTTTTATGATGTTGAACATTTTCCTGCAGTGTTAGATATCTACCTCCGAGTATAATTTTGTTAACTGTTCGAAACACAAACTTTATTTTTATCTGAAAGTCAGGTATGTGTTATTACCATTAAAAGTAACATTGCACGTACATATGCCACATAATAAGTTACTTTTTACAAACTGCCGACCACTATTTCACCATTTGTCTATCAATGCGTGCCACCATTGAACGTTAGACAATAACCGCGCCTACGCTAAAGTGCTTACCCACAATAGTGGGGTTCACACTAACGAATTTTATTCAAAATAGGATCCGATTTCTTGATATGATATGGGTAGTTGGTGAAGTGTATATATTTACATTGAAGTTAAATATCGGCCACAGCCAACTTCAGCATTTAGACTTATAGCAAAAACGGGACAAACGATTTATTGACAAAACAGTATAAACAAAGTATAAAGATAAAAACCTGTTAATTTACACATTTTGTCCACGGGATGTTGAGCTCCATGGAGAATAATTTAATTCAATAACGTGTGCGTGTGTTTCAAACCATAAAACAAAAATAACTGATCTTCATTAAGCTTGTGTTGTTATCTTAGAAAAACTAAAGCGTATAAAATGTTTCAAGAAGTCTTTAAGTAATCTAATAAATCTGTGTTTTGGAAGCCATTAAATTTAGCTTCTGGACCTGCTTAATGGATTTATTTAGACCAAGTAGTCTTAACTAAATGGCTAGATTATTCCATAGCCGTCGATCACTTCGTGAAGAGCTGTCACTCAGTCCAAACTTTTTCCAGTCACTTAACGTAAATGACAGAATCATGTTTGACGGATATTTAAAAAAAAATGAATGAATAATAGGTTATTTAAATCAAATTGTTCCAAAGGAATTGTAATGGGAATTCAATAGCCGCCCAAACAGGAAGTTTCGCGAAGAAATGCTACTATTCTAAGTATATAAACGCTTCTTAAAGGAAGACATATTGCAAAGATGGCGTCTTCACACAGGGTCGTACCTGTCATCCATCCATTAGTAAAATATCATGGTGGTTTTTAATCCGTGTATAATGGGCTTGACTAATAATATGACATAACGAGAATGGACTTCCATTAATCTTGTTTTTAGTGAACGTGGTCGTAAATTTTGTTGGATAAAATTTCACCTATTTTATAATATTTTCAAAGAATATTCAAGTATTATACGTCAGACATTAGCCTGCAACTCCAAGGTAAGGGGAGACCAGGACCTCCAGCGATGAGCAGGAGAAGACACCTCGAGTCTGAATTAGTATCAACTGGGAAGAAACAAGGAAAGTTGCTTTGAACTGTAACCGATGGCAATCTACCGTAAAAGCCAAATATTCTTCTGGGTACGCAATGGACTTCAAACACAAATTTTGTTAAATTGGATCGTGTAGGTTGAGGTGGGTGGGGATAATTTTACTTCCGTTTTGTAGAAAGTCAACATCGTGAGAGCCACACTAAGCCTCATATATTAGCAACACATTCCTAATTTCAAAAGGTGACATTTACCGAAGCAGTATTATATAACTGTGAATAATTGCTTTATATAAAGTAGTTTTCCCTGAAGCGTTATTAAATAGAGTTAAAATAACGAAACGTGATAGGTTATGTATTATTTCAAGATTTGTAATTTTGTTAATTAATTTGTCATCATCCATGGATGCACGTTCACAATGCAAGCCTTAAAGGTATACAAGTAGATCAGTTTTACTGATAATTTTGTTGATAATAATAGTTAAACGAACACGAAAATTAAAAAAAAATGTTTTAAAACGCCAACAATAAATTGAAAATATACCGCCGAATAATGATTTTTAAAAATAGATATCTACATGTAGATGCATGCAGTACCCGCACGCTGCATGTCACCCATTTCTCGGCTTTTATATCTAACGTTCATTGGATGGATTTTTGGACCAGGAACGCATCTTGTAGTTCTTCGTATTATTCTTGTTAATGTGTGCAACGCACTCCACAAAAGCGTGAAGAGGCGTCAACCAATTCAGGTACGATCGACATGACACTTCGCATGCTTGCTCCTTTGCGGCAATACTATATACCGGAAAACACTGAAAACACCGGAAAACACCGGAAAACTACCGAAAAACACCATGTTATACCGAATACCCGAAAACACCGGAAAAACACTAAATACCGGAAAACACATTAAATACCGGAAAATACCCTAAATAGGTAACCCGGAGACTGGCACCCTAAATAGTAACCCGGAGCCTGGTCCTTTGTGTGCCTGGGTTAGGATTGGGTTTAGGGTTAGGGATAGTTTCCGGTTTATAGTATTAACCTTCTCCGGGTTACCTATTTAGGGTGTTTTCCGGTATTTAGTGTTTTTCCGGTGTTTTCCGGTAATCCGGCAAAGATATGACGAATTGAAAATTTGCCAACATTCAAAACCACTGCAGATAATGTATATAGGATATAGTCAAAACAGGCTGGGTCGATTTTTAAATCAATTAAGTCGAAGCCTAGCCTGGAGATGACCTACCGTTGATATTTTTAGTTTGTTTTCTTCATTAAATTAATGTTAAATAATAAATTTTAGTGAGGATCAAGCCATGCCAAATTAAAGATTGTTCAAAAAAGCAACCGACGGACGATCAGTTACTTTAAATGCAATGATAGCGATGCTTATTTAGATTGTAAAATGAGTTTAGCTTTAGGGTACTATGTTTCGGGACTGATATTAGGTTCAATTTTATTTCAGTAATTCTCATGCACATAGGAGTCTTTAGCAGTGGGAGGAAACCGGAGTATCTGGAGAACGCCCACGAGGATGGGCAGACCTCAATGACAGACCTTATGATACAACACGCACGCGCTGACCATTCGGCCACCATTCCCCCCCTCACAGACAAGTTATCTTATTTTCATTGTCTTAGAGTATGCGCGGGGGTCTTTCTTGTGGGGAAAACCGGGGTACCCGGAGTAAACCCACGAGGTTTAGAAGGCGCCCCTATCTCTAAGCTAAATGCGTTCACAACAGGGATCAAAACCACGACCGCAAGCCAGAGATGACCGGCCCGCCCGCTAACAAAATGCTTATAACTAAACCACTAAAAGTTTAATACTTTTTTTTAAAAAATACTACAGAAACTACAGGTACCCATTTTACTTTTCAAAAAACATCAGATGCATTCTCGATCAATGTGACATTGATAATAAGTTTCCAATGTAAATGTAAACATTTGCAATTAACGTTTATCATATCTGGTGATGACGGAACGGTACTCAGTACTCTTTAAAGATTAACAAAAGGTTACTAGGCAACAATACATACATCCACAATTGAACGGGCCCCCAAAAGTTTACCTACATATTATTGACGAACTATACACCAACAATTGTTTCCCCTGATGTAGTACCTCCATATATATCTATAGCAATTTTCTCTCTCTTTATCGCCCCCATCCCTCCCTTTGCATGGCAGTTTTTGTTGACTTTAACGATCTAGAAGAGTGTTTTGGTTTATATTTGCTGCCAGGTTTCGGTGAATATTGTTTATTTTGAGGTGGAACCATCAGGAAGTAAGCAGACATGAATCACGAAAATCACCTACCAAAATGAAGTCACAACTTGTAGATTCCTTGGACTGAGCATATTAGAAAAAAATCAACTCAATAATTTATTAGACGATTGTTACACGAAGGGCTCTTTATTGTTATAAAGATTATGAACATCTGAATTTTCAAAAAAAGAAAAAAAAATGTCACAGGTCAAGAAATTACATGGGTTTAACATTAAAGTGAATTTTGAGAGAATTATAGTCCGAGACCTGATGTATTATGGCTAACAGATTACTTTGAATTATATTGTTAATTATGATCTATTCTGTGAAGGGTCCATATAGAAATAATTGCATTTAATAAAGCGAACATAGAACTTAGTGATGCAGTAAATTAAACAGCATTTACACTAATATCTCCTCCATGGTTCCCATCATGGTTAAAGAGTCATTACCACTCTCACTCAAAGAATATATACCATTAATTTGAGTATCTAGGCACATCAAAGATTTTGGTGCCCCCATATGTAATT